TGACTCATCACTTCTTCCTGTCAAGTGAAATATAAATAGATGGAGAGAAAAAAGCAGGCAGAAGTACCAAAAACTTTTTTCCCCTGCTCAGTGCTGAGACATATTCCTCATTATCTTAAATGTAAAAAGGTCACATTGCTGCACATTCCTGACAGAGCCGATAGTGCTGGTTTCTAACACTCACAGCCGCACTCAGTGCTGGAATATATCACATTTTAAACTTTACGACAGCACATTTACAGCACTTCAGTTTCAGTGCTTCTGCCCTAATGGGTGCATGAACACACAGGCTGCACTACTGGCAACTCTGACATCATATTTACACTTCAACAAATTTAAAAAAAAAAAAAAAAAAAGGAGATAAGTTTTTGTTAACCTGCTCATAAAATCTGTTATTGCCTCACATCTAACAGATCTTTAAAAACTCACCCAAGTAACTTACCAGTATGAGCAATTTAACTTAAAATATTCATTTTAATTAAGCGTGGGGTGAGAGTCGAGGTGACCTGTGCGGCACTGTGTCGGCTGCAAGCTGCTAAATATTAATTACTTATCCTCAAATATCACTGACAGTGCCAATTAAAGATTTTCACTGAGCTCTAAGGATACTACCCTCTGGTACCAGGGAAGTTATGAGAACAAAGACACCCAAATTACCCAGGCGTCCTTGCAGATAAGCTCCGGCGCCCATCATTTACTGTTCAGCACAAGCTGATAACATTATCTACAGCAGAGGGGTTAAGTAAAGACAAAATGTTAATGGCAAGTGCCTGCAATTTTCTTTTGAAAGGGAAATGAACTCTACTAATGTAGGTAGATATATTCTTAGAAGAAGCAACACACTCAATGAGAAGGAACACACACCTTCCGAAGGTCATTTTTAGCTAGGGCTAGCTAACATACAGGGAATCAGACCACGTTTCTGATCAATTTAAAGTAAATTTTCTTACTAAAGAGAGACTTAATGTAGGTTCTGCTGTTTAAAACGTTCATCCCGATGATAAAACCGTACATTTACAAAAGCAGTCACACTAAAGTGTTAATCACACATGGATTATTTTAAGGTCTAACGAGCGTATGATTCCATATAAGTAGCCTGACGAAACGAGCGCATTTCAAAAGACCGTCAAAGGAGTGCTTCTTTCAGTGTCTAGCCCAGATATTCAGGCTCCTAATAATAACTGAAATCTGTCACAAAGTGCTCAAGACTTCAAAAACATATATACAGAGGCAGAGACTGAAGAGATGAGCGTCTGAGCAGACGCACTAATGAGGAGTAAACGGTAATGTCAGCATGTGTGGGAGTGCTTGTGAGTTATAGACCTTGAACATTAGAGCAAGGTTTTTAGTTATCACCTTTGTCAAAAAGTAAAACAGGCATTTTAAAAAGGTTAAAGAAATCGCTCTCATTTTTTTTTTTTTTGAAAGTGTGGTTCTTTCTGTTGTGTCAGGGGAGAAATCTGACTCATATCAGGTGATAGGAAAAATTGTACACTAAAAGCAGGTGTGGGTGTTTGATCCCCTCCGTATGCCAAAGTGCTGTTGGGCTAGAAACCGATAATCAGTTTGCCCCTTAATGGCTGGCCACCAACGTGTATGAGTTATTGTGATACAGCTTGAATGCTCAGATCATATCATGAAATTTGCTGTCCTACTGCCTTCTTGCAAGAACTGGATGAACTCAAAATCTCCATTTCTTCCATTAGGTCCAGCTCGTCTTTGCTTGAAGTTGACTTTTCCGTGTGTTTTTAGGATGAATTTTTCAATGTTATTGTTGTGTCTATGTTACCTGACAAAACTGCATCTGCATGAGAATCACGCTCAGTGTGTAAAGGTCTTAAGCACAAGTACCAAAAACTACATCACGTCTAAGTACCACTCGAAGTTGGCTCTAAAAGTGATTAAATACCTGTAGACTTTCAAAGCCCATTGTATGAATTGCATTTAGCTTCACAGGATACTTCCCCCTTCAGAACAACTCTGAGTTGGGTGAACTCATCCACCTGGATACTGGACTTCACTTTGATTAACAGATTTAAGATACAGACAGTGGAGGCTAGGCCTGCTATGCCTCACCTCTGCTAACTGGACTCATTAAATTGGACCTATTCTGTATGCGTGCGCCTTTTACCTGCTCTAAAACCATTTAGATTGATAATCTGACTGATGCTAAAGCTTGCTACATGGTACAGACCGCACAAGATGTTTGGTTTATGAACGAGATACTAGTGTTTTATTAGCTTGCTAGCCAAGCTAGTTAGCATTAACTGATCCCTTAACACGTCAACTTAGCATAAATGTTTTCACTTCTGGCTCCAAAAAAGCCCAAGAAAAATGTTGAAGCTTCAAAATATAGTCCAAAACAAGTGACATCACACTGGCTACTGTTATGTTGTCTATGTTCCAGGTTCATGGTTCTTGTTTTGCCTACAGTATATGAGTAAGTAAATGCTAATGAGATCCATCTGGATCTCTATAAATGCTAAAAAGACTTAGGTAAAGTATATATATAAACTCTTAAATATGTATCTTTGAAATAACAAATAATATTTTTCATAATAATCAGCTCACACTGTCCCCTGTACTGTAATTGCCAAGAAAGATGGTTTCGTGTCATAGAAGTGATAATGAGGGGACAAACACACAGAGCACGCTAACAGCCAAAGCTCGGTTGGGATAACAGGAGTTTTTTGATCCAGAATCTGTAAAAGTTTAGGGTTTTTTTTTTAGCTCTATAGTCTGCTTGCAAAGTAATAATGACCACTTTTTCTGTTACACAGTCTTTGTGGCCAATGACTGGAGACAAAGCACTTTTATCTATTTTTACCTCTTTTGCTGTTCTGTTTTTCTTGAGTCTGAAACAGCGTTGTGCTGTCTAATGTTGTGTTCAGCACAGTTCCAATTCACAGTTTGCAGCCTTTGCTTGCGACATCATACCTTTACTTCTTTTATATGTATCATGAGATACATATGCCCTGGTAAAACAGCAACTGAAATGCTCAATAAGCAGCATGGTTCTCTAAAATTACAACACAGAATGCTTCCCCTGTGTGGTATCCAAGAATATACAACAAAAGATGCCCTGGTATGCTGCATTAACACTGCTTTCCTACTTTCTACCATTAAACACCCTCTACTATAACTGTTTCTAGTCCCAAGTTGTGGCACTTCAAGTGTGACCATTTTTTCTTTCTTTCCTTTTTTATATGTAAGCCTCCTATGTAATTTCCCCCAGGGCACGACGGGCAAAAATTGGGCAAATAACCCATCAATAAATTAACTTAGTTTAACTAAAACTTTTTCATCTTGTTCCATTCAGTTTAAATGGATTGTGTCGCCTAGGGGACAGAGAGGGTTTAAACTTTTAAAGGCTAGTCATTATAGCTGAACCCTTTTTTCTAGCGGCTGCTACTCACTCGCAGTCAGACAATAATATGCTCTCAATCTCTCCCGCTTGCTGCTGCTGTCCTTGAAAATCAGTGCACTTCCCAAGCGAAGAATTTAAGAAGTACTGATTTTGCACATGAAGGCCGGTTCAATCGTCAAGGAGAGCACTACTGAAAGTGTGAAAGCAGCTATAAAGTTTCCTCTCTGGTACTGCAAAATAGTCCCAGTCCTGATTTAAACCTACAATTTTTGACAGAAAATCTTTATTAAATATTTAAATATTTATATTTGATGAAGATTTAATAAAGACTTTAACACCAAGTGTAAACTTGGTGTTAAAGCTGTCAAAATATTATTTGCCAGATATTGAAAACTTTAATAAAGGTGTTATTAATTAACATTATGAGGAAATGTAGCCTTTTTCATTGTTATCATGCTTTGTGTAAGCTTCCCTCTTTATTAATATTCAATGTAAAATCTCAGTAGTGCTTGTATAAAGGAAAAATCTAGTAAACATAGGTCTAAGAATCTCCATTCTATGGATTATGATAAACTCTAGCTCACCACATCTGTGTTATGATATTTTATTTATAAATATATTATTTAGGAATGTCACAATACCACACAAAAAAACCCTCAAAAAACCCAATATGCTACACAGCTACACACAACTTTAGGAGATCCTGTTATGAGCAATTGCTATGCTAGCCTGGCTTTTGTGGTGGTTGTGGGCAGAACATTCATTTCAGGATTTTAAAGACATTTCTGTAGTATCCCTGACACCCACACCGTTTACAGTACCCTGAATTTTCAACATTTTCACATTGACTTGATTTTAAATATTTATCTGTTCAAACAAACTAAAATTACAACGTAGACCTGCTGTTTCTCCTCGCATTATAATACACTGTTGTCACTTGGCTGCAAATAGATTGCTAGCTGCTAGGCTATTTGCCTTTGGCTACACTAGCTACTTCCCAAATTTTGGCACTTAAGATGATTCATGTTAAAGAAAATGTCAGCTGCTTGCCCCAAGTATATTGTTCTGTCAAATTTTTAACTTATTATTATTATGTTAATTTATTCAAAATAGCCACAGCTGCTGTTTAGCAACCACAGATAGCACCTCCTGGTGGCTCTTAAAAAAAATTCAGGTTTAAGGTACTTGGGCATTGGCTTTTCAGACTTGGAGGCTTCATGCATATTTTATACTTCTGATACAGCTGTAAACCTTTACCGTACATGTGTTGGTGCAAAACAATTCCACTAATATGTTTCCTGTTTTGACTGCTGATCGACTTTTTGGAGGCAGCGAACATCTCTAGCATTTCAAAAATATCCCAAAGATTCGGAACCATATGTCCTCCATAAAAAAAATCTCTGGCACAACTCACACTGCAAACAGCTACAATTCTCAGAGACAGACTAAGTTTGAAAAATAGTGGGAAGAGATTTCCTTTGGATGGAAGCATCAGCCACAGCTTATGATATTCACATAGGGACTATAAAGATAGAATTTAAAATTTCTCAGTAACTTGACAAAGCGTACATTTGGCTGAAGAAGCAATGACGTCAACAGGCAGACACAATGTAGCCTATATGCTAATGCTTACCCTGAAATCAATGCCCACGGTGGAGATGAAGCTCCCAGCCAGAAAGGCTCCATCTTTGAAGCGAACCAGCAGACAAGTCTTTCCCACGCCTGAGTCCCCCACGAGCATCACCTGAGACAGAAGGTGACAATGTATTGGTTCATAAAATTTTAAACCTTGCGCGCGTGTGTGTGCATGTGTGTGAAGATGTTTAAGGTATATAAAAAAATACATAAACAAATACACTACACTGGGGAAAAGCAGCATGTACAGACCAATGGACATAAAACTGCTTATTTTATTATGTTTTACATATCACATTATATATAAATATATATACATTTTTTCTCTAATTCAGTGGTCTACTCTGATATTGGTGTTCATTTAAGTTTGATTTGTCGTGTTCAGAGGTGACATTTGGTACACTGAACTGTTACAAGTGGGAGTACCACATAAAGTCAAAGTGGAGCTGTGATTTTGGTCAGTCTACCATGGGAACAGTTGCTAATCAGGGTGCATTATTAATACCAGCTGCCACCCACATAATGAGAATTTAGATTTGCATATGCCCAATGTAGAATATCATTAGTCTTTTTCATCTCCATTTCATACTTTCAATTATGTATGTTCTGTGTCAATGCTGTGTCATTATTGATTATTCCTCAGCCAAGTTGAGAGCCAAGACAGAGGTACAGAGAGATTTACTTCAAACAGTCAAGATATGATTGTACTACAGACTAATTCAAGGGGTTTAACGACAAGTATAGCATCAAGATACATATTTATGAATTATTGCAGTTTGTCTTTTTTTGTCTTTCTGTTAGCTAAAGTATGTAAAAACCACTAAGTCAAATTTTGCGATGGAGATCTAGAGCTTTGACAAAAGTAAAAAACATTAAATGTTTGTGAGTATCCAGATCTGGCTCTTCCAGATTGTCACACGTAGTACTTGCTTCCAAGACTCCAGACGTTCTTGTGATTTGCAAAATAGGTTTTTAGTAATAGTTCTCTAGTTTTCTGATGGCTTTTCAAGCTTTTGCTGTTTTTTCGCTCACCTTCACTCCAGTCTTATACCATATGATTAATATTTTTTTAAGTTAAGCCACTTGACATATACCTATGAATCATTCATGCATAAAAAGGTACCTAACTCAAGGGATGAACCAGTGTTATGTGTACACATAACAGACATAATTAAGCAAAGAACCAATTGTCAAAAAAACACATAATTGATTTCAATGTCTTTAGCTGAATCCATAGAAAATGTTAAAGATAACACAGATTGACAGATATCAAATAGTATTTTAGCACCAACAAGAGGATTGCCAAAGAACTGAAAGTGTATCTTAGTATATCTTGGCTGAATGGGTGGAGGACAAAAGAAGAACCAAAACACATAAAACCCTACAGTAGCTGAACAGTATCTGGGAAACAGGAAGAAAAGGCTGGGTTATGTGAAATTACACACAAAATTGGACTGAAAATCGGTTACAGTAAGTCTTATAGAGAGATGGAAGGATCTCCTCTGACCATCCCCATGCATTCTGAGGACAGTTTGACAAAATAAGTCATCAAAGTGCATGGAGGAGGTCAGAGGAGAGGTAAAAAAGTGAGTACAGCCACTAAAACATGATGGAGGCTCAGCCAGTGGTGTTGGAAATCTTGTCAAAACTGATGGAATTACAAATGCAGATAAAAGTACTGTCTGATACTGATCCACCATGCAAGACCTACTAATTGGAAAATGCTTCATTTTTCAGCATAGCAGTAATGCCAAGTACACTGTCAATACACTAAAAGCAGAAAAACACAATGGAACACTAACAGTCATGGAAATATTGACTTTCAGGCTTACATTTATTTACATTTATTTATTTAAGTGTTAAGTTTGCACATTTCAATAAACTACTGCACCTATTTCCCATTTTCCTACCAAAATATAAACAAATGACGAGTGGCTCAAGACTTTTGCACTACCGTGTATTTAGAATTGCATATAGTATAGAAAAACAGAAAAGATATTTAGATTTTTAAATGATGAAAAAATGTCTTTCATTTATAAGCTATAACTCAAAAATATTCTTTTAGACACATAAAGTGGGCTACACACACACACACACACACACACACACAGCGTAGATGTAGCTTGCGAAAAGGGAAGAAGGAAGGGATGCAAAAGCTGCATTTTTTTAACAGCCAGCAGTGGGCGACACCCTGCAAAAAAACATCTGGGTGCACGGAAGTGTGTATGGCAAAAGAGTTTCCTGACGTCAGTAAAGAGTTTCCTGATAAGCTTATAAGCTCATCTGCTTGTTTCTACTTATAACAAGTGAAACTTAATGTTAGTTTTGTCAATTTGTGTGCCCATAAGTGTCCATGAACGACATTAAAGCAAAGTATGCCGTATCATGTGACTGACAATCACCTCCTATGAGCACCAGTCAATCACATCCACCTTTTCACTCCTCACATCTGGTTTCAAAACACCAAGATGGTGTTTTTTTTGGGGGGGGTTTACATTTTTTGTAAGGGAAACTAAAACAGTCCTTCATCCCTGATGGCATCTGCCTCCTGACACAGCTATCAGGACATATCAAACCTGAGCTTTACCATGAGATGGCAGTAGCACTTATTCTGTCAGCTCCACTCCTGTTAAACAAAAAGCACCGCTGCTCTCCTTCACTGCAGTTAATTTATCTCATTAATAATAGAAACCTCTCTCCATCATCATCAGCTCTTCCATGTTATTGCACCGGACAACATGTGTGCAGCAACACTTAATGTTTCTAAAGTTCAACGCTTGAAAGGAGACACCGGATGCACTAAGCAGCATTTCATGCATGTGCGAGCAGTTTGGAAGGTAAACATGAGGAAATCTCAAGCACAGAAGGAAAAACTGTCAAAAACACGACACTGAAAACAACATTTGTTTTCTTGCATAAGCACACAGCACACAGTTTTTGCATATGTTACGTATGTTTTTCTGCTTTAAAGCACCTTGAATGGCTTAAGAAGCCTGTTGAAACATAGATGACAAGGTGTATGATGTATATAGAGCTACTATCCAGCAGTCAAATGAGATGAGATGATAACTCAGAGAAACTAAACTAAAAGAAAATTCTGAAATAAAAATGAACACAATAGGAAATTATATTTCTTGGCCGAAACTAACTTCCATACACAGCCATGCCTGAAAACTACAAAAGTAGAAACAAAGTAGAAAGCCCACTATTTTAAGAAAAAGCCTGCTTTTCAGGGCAAATTAATCATCTTTAATCATCTTTAGATTCATGTCTGCAGACATTCACTGTGATTTGTCTGTAGAGTCATGCATTCTACTGGACACAAGCACACTTTTAACTAAGAACATAAGACACTTTTTTCCTTTAAAGAGGGACTTTTTAAAATTGGCTGATGCTAATTCGCTTCACTTCTCAGGTAAAGTCTCTATAAAACGAATACCCTACGCTAAGCTTGTGCTCACCTTGAAGGCGATGTCATAAAACTCTCCGCTGTTGCTGATGGATGGTCTGCTGGGATAGACCAGCCCGGAGGACGGAGCAGCAGCTGCGGTCAAACCTTTCCCCGTCCTCCCGCTGCTCGGAGATGCCTTGGGGCTCTTGGAGCTCCCTTTGCCTTTCGCTGTCTTCTTCCTGGACATGACTCTGACGACCTGCTCCACTTAAAAAAGGAAAAACGAGGAGGAGGAGAGTGTGAACTGGACACTTTTCTTTTCTCCTTTTTTGAGTTCTGATCGGGGTGCGTTGAGGTGAGGTAAGTTCACCTGTGCGTCAAAATCATGACTGTGCGTAAAGCCTAAATTGGCAAGTGACAACAAAACGGAAAAACTGTCCTTTAAATAGAGGCAGCTGTTGTCTCCGCGGTGCAGCTGGATGACTGTAAATCTGAGGTCTGCTCACAATGTAAACAGCACCCTCTCTCGCTCTCCCTCCCGCCTCTCTCTCCCGTTCTCTCGTAACGTGATGTTGGGAGCGGGAGAAGGCATGGTTCTGTGGAAAATCCACACCAAAACAAAAAATAAAGAGAAAATAAATCCACACACTTTCAAATTATGCAGCACAAAAGCAGTCTCGTTAAGCTAGAAAACAGATTTCTTATAGCTGATAATGCGGCACATGAAAGATACTTGATGAATGATTGGTCATTATTTTAAGGAAGGACGAGAGACTGGAATCAGTCTTTTTACGGGGTAATTCTGGAAGCTTTACAGTGTTGTTCACATCACTTGGCTTACACATCTTATTTAGGCTGTGGTTCCAAGTTTTTAATGCAAAAACAGACTGCACTAATGTTTTGGGTGTATTTCCTGTCTTAAAGGTCCAGCTTGCTTCTGGCACCGATTCAGACTTTCAGTTAGCTGTTAGTGCTGTGCCATACTGCAAATTTTGGTATGATGCGGGGCAAGTATACCGATACCAATTACCGATATTGATACGTTTAACGTTTAAAGGCAGATGAGAGCAGTGTGTCATGACTTATGAGCTGAATCATCATCAATTTGCAATTTCCAGTGACTACTAACTCACTGTGATTTTCACTTTTCCAATAATTAGTTTACACATCAAAACACATCTTTCAGCTTTTCATGTATTTTGAGCCTGGGTTTATTGGAGACCTGGAATGTAAATTAGTCTGTCTGGGTTAACTTCTGTTTTTTAAGTGTGCTACAGGCTATAAAGAAAATAGACAGTCAACACAAAACGGTTCTGACATTTTCCATAGTTTGAGGTATATATATTAATTTGCCAAGAATGAAAAAAAAAAATCAACGCAATTCAGTGGGCTACTTGCTCAACTTAGAGGATAAGTATCGATCCTATTCTGGTTTTATCAATCCGATACCAACACCACCATTGGTATCGATGCTATCAATATTTGGATCAAACCTCCTCTACTTGCTGTTCTGTGCAGACACTTTCAGATTCATGGCTTCGTATCTCCTGTGTCCAATACTACTGAGGCAGCTCCTCTTGGGTATAGTGCACAAGTCCAACAGCTGTTAAGCAGGCATATATGTGGGACTTCAGGTTGCCTGTGTTGTAAACAGTGTTGGTCAAGTTACTTGAAAAAAGTAATCAGTAACTAATTACTGATTACTTCCCCAAAAAAGTAATCCCGTTACTTTACTGATTACTTATTTTCAAAAGTAATTAATTACTTCGTTACTTAGTTACTTTTTAAAAACACGATTTACAACCTGAATAGGTGATAAAGCGATAGATCTTTCAGCCCAATTCTACTTTTTCTACATAATCCATCATACAAAATGTAATCAAATGGAAAAGTCTCTTTTTAAAACTTGTTTTATAGTTTTAATCTTTTAACTTTATGCATCAAGCAAAAATTAATTATATGCAACATTCTCTGACTTGAAAAATTTGTTTAACATTTAAACCTATTTTCTGCACATTCCAGCACATAAAATAATTTTTTTGTGTGTTACACTCACTCTTTCAAATAGATGCAAGTAAAACACAGCAGAAAATAAATAAAGTCAAAGACTAGCGGTCCTGTTGCTCTATTTTCACCTGTAAAGCAGGATGGTAGGCGGAGGTTTACCCTGGTGCAGGTGTGCCGCGCGTCAGTGTGAAGAATCCGCGAGTTTCTCTGTGAATTTCCCATTACGTCGTTGCGCACTCGGTGCTTGCTTGGAAGTTTAGGGGTTTTTTCGCTGTAAAAAGAAGTTTTCTTCCCACGCACAACGGACGCTAATGTTTTTGTCACTTTTTATGGAATCAAACTCAAAGTAAGGTCAGTACTTCCACGCTTTAAACGCTGCACGCTCATACTCTCTCCCACATCGATATATGATCCATTGTTGATCTGCACACAGCTGTTGTCACAACGCGCACTCGCTTACGTCACTGTCATGAGACATTCTCGCAAAAAATCACGGTTTTAGTAACGCAGTAACGCAGCGTTCCTACGGGAAAGTAACGGTAATCTAAGTTACTACGTTACTTGAAAAAAGTAATCGGATTACAGTAACGCGTTACTGCCCATCTCTGGTTGTAAAACAATTAGCTTGTTCTTTCACTGATGGACGTTTGGGATTTAGAGTGGCATTACAGCAGGAAAAAATGAAATGGTTATGCTAAACCCCATTAGCCAAATGAGTCATCAGTTTTTTGGGATGGTCAATATTTAACTAGAGCTTGGTACGGCCACACACATTTTTTATCTCAGGTGCCAAGCAGCAAAAAGGTGAATTGTTGACAAAACCATGCAGTCTAGGAGAGAGAAAAAAAAGGTGTGTTAGACATATTAAAATTAAGCAACAGTTTCCAAACACAAATAGCCCTGTGGGTCCTTGGGCAATGGTTTTTCATGGGCCCATAAGTAGTCTTATGCATGCATACAATACAATACACAAAACACTATAGAAAAGTCCAGTGTCCCAAACTGTCACCATGAATATAAATGTGCTACATCTGGGGAGTCCAAACCTTCATCCTAATGCAGAAATCTTAAACTCCTTTGCATCACAGGTCACATACACCCCATTTTTATCTTATGTCTGCACTAGAGGGAGGCAGATTGATCCAAACATTGATGTTGGTATTGGTATTAGACTGATACTTTGTTTCTATCCCCTAAGTTCAGTATGTAGCCAACTGAATTGTGATTTCCCCGAAATATTCTGCCTCAAAAGTATCAGAATTTGTACTGGTGTCTGAAACACTGGCCCTTTATTTACTTGGCATTGGAGCATAACAAAATTTACAGTATTGCACAGCACTAAACTGCACATTTAATCTCTGAATCATTTTAATATAAGATAAAGAAGCACAATTTCAACCATATGTTTCAGTTTTTCTACATGATAAAGAAATGCTGCTGTAGTAAATTAAAGGAATCTGTGAGCATGACTCTTTCGGATTAAATTGTAAGGAGTAAATGTGTAAAATTACAGAAATCTATAACCTAATTATCTTCGTGTATATGAATGGTCATAGGGGAGGTCTTTGTCAGTAGGGAAAAGCTTAAAAACTTAAGAAAATACAGTTAAATGTCCCAAATTTCTTTGAAATCAAACACTTCTGGTTGAAGCCACGTTTCTTAGGAAAACGCACAGGCTAACAGACTCATCAAGGACTGGAACATATTCTTGCTCCACATCTTGCAGAAGACTTACAATTAGAGTGCTGTCGACATGCATCTCGATCTAGGGTTGTTCTAATACTTATTAGTATTAGACCCAGATAGAAGTGGTAAAAAAAACACACAGCCCTGGGGGGATCCAATTGAGGATGACTGGACAGGGTTCCAATAGCCTAGACCCACAGGATCTGGTTGTTAAGAGGCCAGTGAGCCAACACTGTGCTAAAATCTATATTCAAATTAAATTAAAGGCTGTGTGCAAGAAGATGTGGCTGAATACAATTAAAACCAAGGGCGAAGTCAATAACGAGTAGATCTATGGTTCTTACATCTCTTATAGTGTCTCAGTACAGGATTTAAGAGTGCAGTCATGTCATCCTCTACAAACTGCAAGGCAGGATTGTTGAGCTTACATCGTGGGCCACATGCCGCCCACTTTAGACGTTACACATTCAATCCTATTTGATATAAGAAAAAGACGTGCAACTTCAACGGTGCGTCTCAGTTTTTACTCATGACAAAGAAATACTGCTCTAGCAAATTAGAAAAATCTGTCAACACAAATAAATAAATGTATAAAATTACAGAAAAGGTTCCGGCAGCTCACCGCCCAGGCTAATTCACAAAAAAACATCCCATTCTTTCACCCCACTGTGTACTTATTGTAAAAAAACTAAAACAAAAAAAAATAAACAAACCTGAAATATCTAGACTTTTTTTCTTCTTTAGTTGTTATTGTTTATCTTTTATTTAATTATTTTTATATTTCAAAACCAGTGGGCCAGATTTCAGTCTTTGCCAGACTGATTCTGGCCCCCAGGCCTTATTTTTGACACCCCTACATGTCACTTATTGTGTTTTCCAAGATACAAAGTGCTCTTCAACTGCAATGATTCAAAAGCTAACCAGGAGGTAATTGGCAGCACTTCTTGTGTTATATATAAATTATTAATTGCTTGATTCTTGAAGTAAAAATGTGAAAAATGCACTGATACCATTCTCCATCCGTTCTCGTGTGAAAATATCAGCATGTTAACCTGGTTTCAAGTAAAAGTAGCCATAATCTCAGTTGGCACCATAATATTGGCAGAAGCAGAAAAAATTGGTAATTTTTTATCAATGGATGTTGAGGACTTGTTGTTTTTGAACAAATAAATCAATGCAAGATGGTGCATGTTTGCCATGTTTGACGTTGATTTCAGAGCCCTCATAGGTTGTGCTGAAGATTTCTTCCTGTTAAAAGTGAGTTCTTCCTGCCCACTGTTGCCATGTTCTTGCTAACAGATCATAGTTTTGCTTTTTTTCTTCTGCAATATTACCTTAAATGCCTTAAGAAAACGGTTGTGAACTGGAACTAAATAACTATTACGTTAAACTTAGTATTTGGTTATCAATTTTTACACTCTATATTTTTGAGGAGGAACTCTCAATGCAATGCCAGTTCACACTTAGCATTCTGGGTTGTCTTATTTAAGACAAAAAAGGAATCTTATCTTTTCTTTTTTCATTGATTTTGCTCCTTTTTCCTTGAGCAGTGGATCATTAATGTTATCAATAAGAAAGAAGAAATAAGCTGAATTTCAGGAACTTGGTGGAGCCATGGAGCATAAGCAATGGCATAACCCCGTAACGTTTCACTGTAGATTCACTGACATTCATTAAAATTGCAATACAGGGTGCTGGCCTTGCTGGAGGATGTGCCGTCTAGTTCAACATATGATTTTGCAGCTGTGCACTCAGATTTGACCCAACCAATTATTGCTGTCTGCTTATATGTTGTGTGTGTGTGTGTGTGTGTGTGTGTAGGACAAAATCCCTGCCCTGCTCCCAGGAAGAGCTGAAGACAATACAGTAGCTACCGTGTTACAGAAAAAGACCACATGAGTCACTCCTTTATATTCAGGAGCTCCCTCCCTCATTGCAAGTAAACAGTCATTTTCCTACGTCTACTGTG